GCCACAGCTGCCACCTGCTCTTCAAGCAGGAGCCATGAGTCTAGGAGGACCCCCAGATTATGCACTGGGTCTGTCTGGGGCAGTGCTACCCCATCCAGCATCAAAGATGACAAAGTCCCAGATACTGAGAAGCCATTAACCCACAGCCACTCTGTCTTACCAGAGTTCAGCTGAAGCCTGTTGTTCCCCATCCAGACCCTTACGGCCTCCAGGCACTGCGAAAGGGCGGTCATGGCATCACTTACTTCACCTGGGATGGAGATATATAATTGGGTATCATCAGCATACTGATGATACCTCATCCCATGATGGCGGATGATCTCACCCAGCGGTTTCATGTAGATGTTGAAAAGGAGTGGAGAGAGAACCAAACCCTGCAGCACCCCACAGAGGAGGGGACGAGGCTGGGACCGCTGACTCCATATCAGCACCGTTTGGGATCGGCCCTGAAGAAATGAGGTGAACCAGCATAAGACCGTGCTGCCCACCCTCAATTCCCTGAGTCATCCCAATAGGATACCATGGTCGATGGCATCGAAAGCCGCTGAGAGATCAAAGACAGCAAGGATGGTCGCACTTCCACCATCCTGCTCCAGCCAGAGATCATCCGCGACCAATGCCGTTTCTGTTCCATAACCGGGCCTGAAACCTGACTGGAAGGGGTTCAGATAATCCATTTCCTCCAGAACCCTTTGGAATTGTGATGCCACCACTTTCTCAACCACCTTCCCCAAAAAGGGGAGGTGGGAGACTGGATGGAAATTGTCCAGTACAGTAGGATCCAGGGAGAGTTTCTTGAGGAGGGTGTGCACCAACACCTCCTTAAAGGCAGCCAGAAACACTCCTTCTTGCAGGGATGTATTAACCATCACCTGGATCCAATCATGTCACTTCCTGAGCTGCTTTCACCAGCTGATTCTTTCCTCTGCCATTAGAAGCCTGAAATCAGGGGTGTCCACAGGATGGTGGTTTTTAAAAAAAAGCAAGATGGCAGTCATAACAATGCATTGAAGCTGCACCTGTTTTTATGGGCATCACATATGCAATGCACACACACCCACACATGCGCACACACACACACACACAGGTGGAGTTTCAGAGGGAGTTGGGGGGCATTCCCATGGATCTGCTGCATGGTCCAGCAGAGGCCTTGGCTGCTACCTGGAATAGGGAGGCAGCTGGGGCCTTGGACAGGATCGCGCCTATGTGACCTCTCTTGCCACATTGGCCCCGACACTCCTTGTGGTTTACGGAGGAGTTGAGGGTGCTGAAGAGGGTCAAGAGACATCTAGAGTGACACTGGAGGAAGACAAAGACTGACTCTGACCAAACACAGGTTAGAGCCGCTATCAAGGCCTACATTGTGGCAATAAGAGTGGCAAAGCGCCAATACTTCTCCGCGCTTATCGTGTCCACAGAATGCCGCCTGGAGGCCCTGATTTACTAATTTAGCTTTTGTGTTTCTGTAGTCCTGTGTTTGTCACAGCTAATGGCAGCATCTAATCTATTTTGGTAATCTTGAAAAAGCTAAGTAAGGTTGGATTTGGTTAATATTGGATGGAAGACCAGAAGGACATTCCATGGCTATTGATGAAATTGGGAAGGTGGAAAGCCCTCCCAGAAGAAGGGAATGGCAAGCCACTTCCATATTGTTGTCAGGAAAATTGTAACACAACAACAGCTCCAATAATTACAAGCAAAAGGGGGGGGGGGAGAAATAATTTCAGGATACTTAATGTGAATCTAACAAATTGTGAATCCACAATTTCAAAATTGTGATGCTGTACAATGCTATATATTTTCATTGGAATCATACCAATTTATACCACTGGTCCACCTACCTTAGTATGGTCTACATAGGTCAGCTGTCTGAGACAGCATTGATCACATTTATTGATGACCTCTGGCAGACCCCAGACAGGTTTGTGGAACAATCCTGGTTCTCCATGATCTCTCAATGGCTTTCAGTACCATCAATCATGGCATCCATCTGGACCAACTATAGGGATTAGGAGTAGGGACCACCTAATCCTGCAGAATTTCTATTTTTAGTCCCCAGTGGGGTTACATTTCCCTATTCATGACTGGTAGACAATTTGGAGATTTTTTTGAACTTGCAAGTCTTGCTTGAAGAGCAGGTGGCAGCCGTGTACAAGAAACAGAATCTTTGTACAGATTCAATTTGTGTGCTAGTTGCACCCCTTCCTGGCTAGGGAGCCCCTCCAGACAGTCATTTGTGCCTTGGTCACTTCACATGTGGAGTATGTAATGTAGTCTACATGGGGCTGCCCTTGAAGATTACTCGGAAGTGACAGATGATACAGGATGCAGTGGTTCAGGCAGTAATGTGTATGCCATAGCATTCTCATGTAACATCTTTGCTGTGTGAGCTGTACTGGTTGTGAGCTAGCTTCCAGGTACAATTAAAGATGTTGGTTGCTACCTAGAAAGCTCTTCATGGCATAGGGCCTGGCTATTTGAGGGATCATGTCTCCAGTAGTTTGTGTTCATCCTGTACAATGGGAGTTGCCATGCTTGTGGTCCCATTGATCAAATGGTGCCATCTGATGGGACCCAAGAAGTGGGCCTTCTCTGTTGCAGTGCCTGTCTTCTGGAACAACATCCCTCCAGAAATTTATATCATCTCTGCCTTGCTCTTGTTCTAATGATCCTTAAAAACATGGCTTTCCCCCAGGCCTTGGGCTAGAGTCGATGGCGGACCTCTTAAGTGAAAATGTATGTTAGGTTGTATGTTTTATTGCTCTGTCATATTTATTATATTTTCATACTGTTTTTAGTGTTGTACGCTATCCAGAACCACTATGGACTTGAGTGACCTTATACATTTAATAAAGAAATAAATAAATCTCATAGCAGAGTCATTTCTAGTCCTACTCAGAAAAAGAACTGTATTGGGGGGCTTTTGTATGAAAAGCATGGCCCTGTCACTAGGTCATGACGTTTCAATTCTTTTGATTAGAACTAGTTCCAGGCAAGTGATCAGTACATAGTTATGTGATTACATACTTAAGAGTGAGCTCAAGTGTCAACTCTCCAGCTGGCCCATCTTAGGAAAAGTCTGAAAAATCAACTGAAGACAGTGTCTGTATTCATATAACATGCTTAAGAAGCTCATTTAAATAAATAGCAGCATTTCACAACATCCTAAACTTGGTTAAGGGTAACCTTGCTTAGTTTGCGTATGGCTCAGTATGTCTGAACCCAGCCTGTTTGCCTAGTTTATGATTTAATGTATTATATGAGCCGAGAAAATAGGATTAATTCTATAACAAGATTAAATGTGTTATGTGAATGTAGCCTTGTAGCTTCTAGGCTATTTTCTGAACAGGTGATCTTTGGGTCTCTGGAGAGCCACTATGGTAAGCTTTGTACTCAATAAATGTTAAGCATTCATTAAGATTTCAAGCAGGAGCCTTGCAAGATATGGTAAAAAAAAAAAGTCAAGATGGTGGTCATGACAGTGTGATTGAAGCTCCACCTGTGTGTGTGTGTGTGTGTGCATTGCATGTGTGATGCCCATAAAAACAGGTGGATCTTCAAATCCATTGTTATGGCTGCCATCTTGCGTTTTTTTTTTTTTTTTAAAAAACCCTATCCTGTGGACACCCCTGATTTCAGGCTTCTAATGGCAGAGGAAAGAACCAGCACAGTACTCTATCAAACAGGGCCAAATGCTGTCTCAAGCAAGGTACATCTTCAACACAATTTCTATCTAATCAGCTCTTGATTTTATTTCTGACTGCTTTTTTAGCAGGCTGGATGCAGGGACTTTTCTTGTCATTAGCTATGCATTGGCATGTAGGGATCTGAGCAAAGTTATATTCACCCTTTTTCACACAAACATACATACACACCAACTCTTTGGTGAATGAATATTGATGTACAATTCTGCAATAGTAATAAGAAATCAATGTTAATGAACCATTGTCCCCTTTGGCCAGTGTATGGCCTACACATCTGTATGAGTTAACATAACATCAAAGGCAAATGGTTTCTCTACGGTTGCCAAGAAAATTACATGGTTGTATCCAAGAAGACACCAGCAACTGAGGTTGACTCAAAGAAGAGTTTACTTTTTATTTGTGTAAAGAAGTGGGGCAGAGCCAGGACAAAACATAAAGTCAATCAAATCTCATCTAATTTAAATTAACTTAAAATGAATTAAATGCAGTTCATGTGATTACTCCCCCTGCATTTAATACTTTCCCTCTTCTGTTAGGTTAAAAATGATGTTTTGGCAACAATTTTTGAAAGGACTTTAGGGGCTGGCTCCAATGATGTGAGAACCACAGGTGGTCCTGGAGCACAGATATGCATCCCTGACTCCAGTCCAATGACCCAGACAGTTACCCGGGTTCTTGGCCCCTCAATCGATCCTGGGCATTAGCTGGGTTGCTATAGAGCAGTGGTCATACTGCAAGTGGAAAAGGGTAAATGTGAAATGTAAAGCCTCTTTTAAAAATGGCATTCCCTCCACTGTTATCATTGGAAATGGCCTTAAGTACTCTTACATGATGAGTATTAAAGCACATAATCGGACGTACCATTCATTTTTCAGCAAATCTCTGAAGGATATATTGTATTTATATAAGTCAGCAACGGTTCTCCTGCCTGCCTACTCTGAGTCCAAAACCACTTCTGGGATTGAACAAGGAAGAAATTCTCCAGTTAATTTTCTCCAAAGCCAAGAATGGTGCACAAGGAAAGGCCAGGAAAATCACTTGATAGCTCATCCCACTGGAGCTCTTCTAGCATTCAGCCACCAAAGGAAGCGTCAGGAACAGCTCCGTTTTTTCTCTAAATTGTCTTTGCAGAGCTGTTATCAGTGGGCATTGTCCTGCTTGCCAAAACTCTACTGGGAGGGGAAAAAAATTAACCCTGCAAATATACATATGAAGAATTTATTTTAGCATGCTTCAAGTTTTTTTCCCCTTTCTCTCTTGCTATAAGCTGCAAAATACCAGAACCATCTGAGAAGCTTCTGCTCCTGGAGAAGGAATTTACCAGATTGGATTGAGTCCCAAAGAGCAAATCAGGTTAGTAAAGGACTCTCATAGGTCAAAATTAAGAGACAGCCTCACTTTCTTCTTACTGGTGGTAGAATCAGCACTGGAGACTCGCTGGAGAAAAGGAAAATTAGGAAACAGGGTGATTTTGGGAACAGAAAGTTTTGATTTGGAAAGCTTGCAACATTCTTACCTGGGATTGCAAATCAGTTGGAGAAACTAGACCAACCTCTGAGATCCTCTGAGCAGGTTGCAGGTTTGCTAAATAGCTGGTAGATAGCAGCAACTGTCTTTGGTGCTGAATATGACAAGAAGACTTCATTGCTACACGCAACATCTCTGTTCAGAGAGGCTGAGTTCAGTAGAATCTGTTTTCAGAATATGCATACGAAATTGCAGCATTATTTGTCTTTTTGAATTCTCTGATCTGGACATACTTGAATACTTAAACTATGGCGACTGAGCTCGCTTCCTTCAATCTTCTCCCCAAAATAGGAATTAGATACAAAGAATGGCATACGACATATTTATAAGGGAAGATGTATAACTTTGGGGATGCTTATAACTTCTTAGCTTCTTGTGTATTATAACAAAGACATATAATAACCATGATCAGCTTCCTCAGTCTTTACCAGTTTTTCTTCAAAATGTTAAGATCATATGAGTTAAAAGAGGGTCTAAATATTATTGTTTGGGCAAAGCTAATTGCTAAAAAAAACAAGTCAAGACTTCTAGCAAATACCTTTTAAAATGCCCCCATCATTTAGGACTTAGAGTACATTAGAAGAATGAAGCATCTATTTGAATCAAAACAAATCTACCTCTTGAAGAAATTAACTGCAGTGTGATTATTTGGTTTGAAAACATAAACATAAATTGGATTCTAAGACAATAGAAGGAAGAGTGTTTCCATCTAACAATGAAAGCCCCCAACTCTCCAGAGGATGGGTACTTCTAAACAATATAATATGGAGTTCCTGGGGAAATGAAGGGAGATGAAGACTAGAACTTTTAAATATATATATGAACATAGAGTTGCTTATTTTAGAACTCATATTTAACATTGATATAAATTTTCTATTATGAAAGATTTAATTTACTTTCATCATCACAGTGTTAACAGCTGCTAGTTTCTATTGTACAGACACCAGTGTACTTAGCTATTATTTGTATTCTACAACATATTATTTATATTCTATAATAAAACAATTAATTTGGAAAAAATAATAAAATGATAAGATAACCAGAACTACTAAAAAAAAAAAAAACCACTAGAATTTTTTTCCCCATTGACTTTCTAAAATTATTTTTTCAACTGAATTCTAGTTTATTGTTTTTTTCTTAGAGGTCTTAGAAGCAAAATGTCCAGGAAAACAGAGACAGAAACTGATGCAGGGGGAAGAAAAAGGGGAAGCTTCATTTTTGTGAATGTCTCTGAGTCAACTTACATTAGGATCCCATGCAATATTTAATAATGGACAATGAAGATTCTTACTAATTAATTCTTGTACATGCTTAACAGAAATGATGGATTTAGTCCCAAGTCAATAGGAAACTTATATTGTCCCATTTTCAGAACTGAAGAAATTTCAAAATTATGGGCATTATGAGAGAAAATACACCCCCCTTCCAAATGTCCACAAAACAGCGGCTGACAGCCTTTATCCTCTGAAACACTTAATTTCAAAAGATGTGTCTCAGATTTTGAAAGCTGTATTCAAGAGGAAACCTGTACTGAATGCATGTCTGAATTTGCTATATCCGGAAAAAAAAAGGAGTCAAGAACATCATGCCAAAATATATTCAATGAGGCTGGCTATGTATATCACAGAGCTAAATCTCAGAAGCTGATGTGAAGTCTCCTTGGTGCTGGATGTTTAATACTGTATTTTGTTTCATTGATATTACACATTGTATTCTGCTCTTTATGGGTATATTCACTCAAGACCCACTCAGGGTGGCCCATGACACAGTCATAAGGTTTATTTATTTATTTGTCTAATTTATATAGCTGCCCATCTCACAAAGCCAGTGGCTCTGGGTGGTGTACAACAGAACTAAAACAATTAATAAATCCCTAAAACCATTATCATTATTAATGATATTAAAAACATTAAAAACTATGAAAACAGAGCTAATACCAAAAAAAAAAAAAAAGTGGACAAGGAGATGTTAATAATAACAGAGCCACCTCACAAGTTCACCTGTCCCCTGAGCTCCCCAGGCCTGCTGACATAACCAGGTCTTGAAGGTTATTGCTACTGTTGAGAAAAGTTTCAGGGAACAAAAAGGAGACTGTTCTCTTGGAATAGACATTGAATAGTAAATGAATATCTTAAATGGCAGATTTGGAAAGCTGATGTAAGCAAACTTTAATAGAAAGACAAAGAAATCCTGAAAGATTAAAAAAGCATTCTGCAAATGATGATCTGTCAACAAGTACCTGAAATCAACTGGCCAGAGTTACATGAATAATGATTTTTCTGAAATACCAATAATTCTAACTGCAAAAACAATAAACTTCTGAGTCTTCAGCCAAAAGAGTGTCAGGGAGTATTTTTCAACTGTGAAGCTTCTAGAACATCGTTATTTCATGACTGACAATTGAATAATGTTTCATCACCTCAAGTCCTGAAGATGCTTTGAGAGAAAGCAGATGGCCTGGGAGAAGTTGCTTCCAACAACATGTTGGGAAAAAAAAGTTCCCTGTGCTTTGAGAATAGCAATCAGAGCAAAAATAAAATAAAATAAAATAAAATAAAATAAAATAAAATAAAATAAAATAAAATAAAATAAAATAAAATAAAATAAAATAAAATAATTCTTTATGTAGTTGCACGGTCCAAAGCAAGAACAAGAACACATTATACTTGTGATTCCATACTCAGCTGCTTAGAAGTAAGTCCCATTTAACCCAATGAAACTTATTTTTGAGTAAACATGTCTAGGCTTATAGTTTATTATTGCAAAGTGCCACCTTCCTTTTCACTGGTCAGCTAAATCCTGAGATTGCTAGTGCCTCACTGCCCTGCTTAAAATCAACCTATTAAAATTGCTGGCTCCTCATAGTGAGGATTCAGTAAGTTGCTAAGCTCTCCCAGTGATGCTGCTGCCTAGAATTGTTGTTTTCTCACAACAGGAAACCAGCAATCTGCAAACAGGTTGATGGGGGAAGAGAAGCTTTACTGTACCATTCAATAACAATAACAGATTTATGTAACAATAATTGCTTTCTGGTTGGGGAATTCTGGGAATTGAAGTTCACGCATCTTCAAGTTCCTAAGGTTGAGAAACACTGTAGTGAAGTATATCTTCAAGAACTGGATGAAAAAGTTGTAAATAGCTAATGAAGGGCTAGCCCTGTATTTTGGCAGGATGAGGTAGAAACTTCTAACAGCAGGCTTTGGCCGGGTTCAACTATCATGCTAAGCCATAATTGGTTTGTTTGGTTTTGACTGCTGGATGAACCCAGCTACCATGAATGTTTAAACTTTTATCAACAACTTGACATTAAATGCAAATGCAGCTAACAGCTTAGACAACAAATCATGATTAGTATAAAATATAATTTGGCACAGTGTTCAAATCAGCCATTGTGAAGGGCAGTAAAGGGTGATTTATTTAATTCACTATAAACATATTTTTATTGCCTGGAAGAGAGGAGACATTTATGAACTTTTTTTTTTTTTTGCCTCAGATGACTAAATTACTGATTTAGCCTTGCTACTGGGGACGAGTTTGCTGTTCTCTCTCCTTCAGGCAGGAAAATATTTTGGACCTATGCTATAGTGATTTATGTTAGAATCATAATGAGAATTGAATGGTAACAACTGACCTTCTTTGAAATCCATGTGATTTTCTAGCAAATGGCTAGTCATACACTACAGATCTCATCTGGGAGATAGGATTCACCTTGTAGATTCTGAATTATATTTTTGGTACTCAATAGATTCCATTGCTCAGGGCTCCATTTTGACATCTGCCAAAGGGCAAGTTGCTTATTAGCAGTCTCCGTTGGGGATTTCAACATATATAATAATCGAAATCAGATTTGGGTCAGTTGATTCAATAATTTGGCAAACCCTTGGAATTCCAGTAAGGAATGAAATTTCCTTATTACAGTGTGGCATCTTAGCATAGTGATGTAAATATTAGAGTTGCTTTCTTTGTTTGCTATCAATGTCTAACCAATATGAATTCATAACAGCCAGTTTCAAGTCCAATATGTCAGATTGGAAACCAACATTTTTTTTAAAAAAAGTGTTGATTATGGCTCGTGTGGGTCTTCCGGGCTGTGTGGAAGTTCTGGAAGTTTTGTTTCCGAACGTTTCGCCAGCATCTGTGACCGGCATCTTCAGAGGGCAGGAGCACAGGCAGGAGCAGACGGCAGGAGATCTGCCCTCTGAAGATGCCGGTCACAGATGCTGGTGAAATGTTAGCAT